AGTTCTTTTTAGATACTATTCCATGTGCAAAAGCCAAGTCCAGTAGGTTATGGTTCAACACTGAGGGCAGGACAGAATCCACCACACTGAGGCAACTGACTAGCCTTAAGATCAGGCCAGACAGCACACAGACCTGTCTTTCTCATATTATTCTGCTGACTCCATCTACTGAGATACTAGCCTCATTTAATTTTGTGACAGAAGACCAGAAGATCCACATCAAACAGTCAAAATATTTATCACAGCATTTGATACATGTTTACCTTAGTGGACGTTTACTATAAACCAAAGTTTTAAGTATACCCTGGGTTTTTGTTCAGAGTAGCTCATTACATAGTTGTGGGACAAAAAAAGAAATATGATCCCTAGGAAGCAATAAAAAATGACCAGGATCTAAACTGAAACGTAAAATTATGACCTTAAAAAAAAATCTGTTCCTAGATTTGAATTTCATTTTTCTTTGCATGGAAATAAGGCAGACATAAATAAAATGCATATTTAATGAAGAGAAGAGGCAAGCACAATCCAAAAGAGATAGGTTAAAATGTAAATTTTGTCACCTACCTATGGCCTCCAAGCTAACTGTCATCAGATGTAACAGTTACTGTTACTGTTAACAGCACAGAAACAAATATTTACCTACTATCCTACAACGCAGAGTGGACAATTGTGTGGGGGTGGGTGCCATTTTTGTAGCCTGCATGCACATATAGGATCACACTACCAAGTTTTGGCATAGCTGGAGTGATGCAAAATCAATTCTAGACACTATTTGGGCCAATTTTTGCCATTTTAAAAATATATTAAGTTTTTGGGAAGATTGTGGAGCTTTCAGAGCAGAGTTTTCCAAACTCTGTGTCACGACACACTGGTGTATAGTACATAGTCCCTCTAACCCTAACCCCTCCCCTCCCATACAAACAAAGGCTGCCTGACCAGAAAGGCTGTATACCCTTCCATAAAGAGGCTTGGCATCAGTTTGGGGGGAGTGTGTTAGTTGCCCCTGAGGAAGGGGAAGTGACAGAAACAATGCCTTCTCATCATCTTCAGCTCTCTCCCTTGCCACTGATGGAAGTGGTAGCAGCCCGGAGGCAGGGAAGAGGAGGAGAGTTAAGATGAATAGGGGCTCAGGAGAGGGGTTCACAGTGAGAAAGATGTTAAGGAAAATTTTCCAAATTACATTGGTACAGTAAAGATTATATGAAACCTATATATGCAGTGATACCTTGACTTAAGAGTTTAATTTGTTCCCTGACTAGCTCTTAATTGAAAACACTCTTATCTCAAAGTAAATTACCACTGAAATCCATTGAAATGTTATTAAGTCATTCCGCCACCTTCATTTTTGTTGCATGTTTTTATAAGTAAGAAAATGTACTTTGTAAATAACAAATCTATATATATAAATCTGAAAGTGGCGTTGAACGGGACAGTAAAACTCAAACCCCACCCCCAACGAAAATTAACCAAAATTCCCATGCACCTACCACAACCCACAAGGTACAAACAAATCGAATCAAAATAAAAAACAACACAACAACACACTCACAAAACGACAAAACTGAGCATGCGCAATGGCACCCAGCCGCAATTTCCCCGGCGCGCGCACATGGCCTGCCGGCCAACGCTCCCTCCGCGCAAGCCACGCCCCCAACCTCCCGCCACGCCACCCCACCCCACGGCCCCTCCCTCCCCTCCTTCATCTAACCCAGCCCAGCCCTCCGGTAAGACACACCCCCTTCCTTTTCCCCCCACTCCTTCCCTCCCTCTCTCAATCCTCCTCCTCCCATCCCCCTCTGGTAAGACACGCCCCCTTCCTTCTTCCCCCACCCCTTCCCACCCTCACTCAATCCTCCTCCTCCCACCCCCTCCGGTAAGACACGCCCCCTTCCTTCTTCCCCCACCCCTTCCCTCCCTCACTCAATCCTCCTCCTCCCACCCCCCTCCGGTAAGACATGCCCCCTTCCTTCCCCGCGGCGGGCCCAATCAAGGAAGAGGAAAAACAGAAACATGGAAGAAAAGAGTGAAGGAAAGAAGGAAAGAGGTAGAGAAGGAAGAAAAGAGAGAAAGAGGAAATGAAGAGGGATGGAAAGAAATGGGTAGAGAAAGAAGGAAGGAGATAAGGAAAGAAAAGGAAGGAAAGAGGAGCGAAGGAAGAAGAGAAAAAAAGAGAAAGAGGGGGGAAGGAAGGACAGAAAAAAGGAAGAATGGAAACAAAAAGGAAGGAAGGAGAAAGAGGAAGAGGAAGAAGAGAAGGAAGGAAGGAAGGAAGGAAAGAGGAAGAGAAGGAAGGAAGGAGAGAAGGAAAGAAGAAAAGGGAATGAGGGAAAGAAGGAGAGAAAGAGGGAGGTAAGGTGGGCCACAGCAACGCATGGCAGGGAAAGGGGAGGTAGGACTCCCAAGACCCAACATAAAGCACGAGAAGGGTTTGGTAAGCAATGGGAAGGAAGAAAGGAAGGAGGGAAGGCAGGAAAGAAAGAGGTACCGAAGGAAGGAAGAAAGAAAGTAGAAAGGAAAGAAAAATAAAAGGAAGGAAAGGCAGGAAAGAGGTAAAGAAGGAAGGAGAAAAGGAAATAAAAAATGAAAGAAGGAAGGAAACATGGAGGGAAGAAAGGAGGCAAAGGAAGAAAGGGGGAGGGAATGAAGGAAAGAGAGAAGGATGAAACCAAGGAGCGAAAGAAGGAAAGAAAGAAAGAAAGAGGTAGAGAAGGAAGAAAGGAGAGAAAGGGGGAGGAAAAAGGGGAAGGAATAGGTAGGTACCTCTCTTTCATAATACTCCAGATATCTACCTCTACTTTGAAAAGATTTACTATAGGCCACAGCAATGCGTGGCAGGGTACAGCTAGTAATGTAGAAATGCACATTCATGTGGAACAATAAAAAAGTAAGATCAACTTTAAAATGGTAGAAGCACAAAGTTGTGGCAAGGAAGCAAAACGGGAAGAGGCAAAAGCATAATTTTGTAAGAGTCCATTACCTTACAAGGCAGTATGTTCCACTGCTGATCATCTTGTACCATAAGAAACTGAGTCCTACCAGATGTACTCATTCAAGCCTCCCTCTCTCTCTTCATGAAGCCAAACATACCAGAAATAAAAACCACACAAAATCAACTAATCCAAAGTTCCTCAAAGCATAAGGATCAAAACTATCTCCCATAGTGAATAAGAGCATGATGCACAGAGGTGGCTGCTCCCTCTGGCACTAGAATTCCGTCTGGCACTAGCTCTTAACTCAAAATGTTGCTCTTATGTCAATGCAAAACCCAGTCCAAGTGACAGCTCTTAACTTAAAATGTTTTTAGGTTGGGATGCTCTTAAGTAGAGGTTCCACTGTGTCTGTCTGTGTGTGTGTGTATAAAGGGTTGGTTTAGCCTCTGGTTTCCTAATAAAACTGAATAACCATGTTGCGAAAGGACGCATGACTAAAAGGATGTCACATACCTCAAAAGTTTGGAAAGCTCTGTTTTAGAGTACTAGAGGAAATGAAACCTTCTGGGCACATTTTGGGCAGTTTTCAGGCAAATTTTGCCTTTTTTTTAAAAAGTCTGATAGGACTTCTGGGAGTCTTCACTTAAAGGTGTCACTGGCCACATGTGACTCACAGAAACTCCACTGTCCACATTTGCTATACAGTATTATAGACAGAAAGAAGAACAGATGCTATAACAACATGCAGCATTTTAGAATGTATGCAACACATCACATATCAATTTGGTGTATTTTTAAACCAACTTCTACATTATTTTTAATCTGGTCTAAAGCAGAAGCTATTAGAAACTAGAAGTAACTTGTTGAAGTCTACCATAAAACTCATGACGAAAGTAAGGTTCCAAATGGAATCACTTTTTAGTTATGTGGCACTAACGATTATTTTTACTAGAAATATAACTAATAAAGGTGTTTACAATTATTATTGATAACCACAAAGGAAAGGTAATTATTTATAGCATATGATGAATGAATGCGTTTATGAAATTAAAAATTACTATAAGAAAATTACTAACAATGTAAGAAAATGTATGCCAGCAGACATAAGATTTGTACATAAGATTAACAAAATATTGACAATCTCTTTTTGAAACTAAGCTATGATATTTCACAGAATTGAAGATTACCATGTAACATCGAAAACCTATGTAGCTCCTATTACATGGAAGAAAAACAAAGGGATCAATATTTATATCTCTCCTCCTGACAAGATTTTCTTGATTTAACTACAGTAAGGACAAGTAGACAGGTCAAGTGGCTGGCATTGGAGGCGGGAAACTGAAGCACAAAGAGGGACAATATAATATTTGCAATCATGAGTTTGATCTAGTCATTGATTGAGATACATGTTTCTTGTTCAGGATGGAAAAGGTAAGAATTCCATTTCCAGACAAGTCTATTCATAAAGAAGAGAAAATTTCATATATTTTCTTAAGCTTGTGCTGACATTCAGTACCAAAAATTTGGTCTGATTCTCCATTTTTTTTTAAATTAGCAGGCTCAGCTATGATAGTACTTTCATAATGATAACAGAGCCTGGGAAAATTCTCTCCTTTTTTTGGCCTTTAACTCCTTTAAAATATGTCAGAACCGTGTAAGAATAAGGGAGCTGAACTTATTTTTATGAAAACAGGATGTTAAGAGAGAACACTAGTTTACTCACACATACCAGCAAAGGTCTCAGGCTAATTGGTAGCTTGAACTAGTGTAAACCCAGTGAACCAAGGGGAATTTGTAACTCAAGTAATGTCAGTGCTACTGATTTAATAAAATGGCTCCAATTGGAAACATTTTGCATTTTCAATTAACATAATTGCCCCATACTATGAAAAGTGTGCATAACTGATGAACTGGTTCCAAAATTAGTTTTACTAAGATTCTGTGCAGAAAGAATATTATTCACCTTGTATTTGTATGGAGAGCTCTCAATTATAGAAACCATTTCCAGCTTTCCCAACCTTGAGGCCCCAAATTTCCCAAACAATCTATGAAATCTCAGGTTTTACTCACTGATTGTGGATTTATCTCTTCTTCTCCCATAGGTTCATCCATGATTTGCTGGCCATTCTGGAAAAATATATTTTAAAATAAATAAAGAGTTAAAAAGTAATTGAAAGCAGAACATTTATACAATTTTACTCATGAAGAAATGAACTAAGCACCACCAATAACAGCTCTAAGACATGGTGCCACTTAATTAAACAATGTAAATGTTCATAAGTTCTGTTACAGCATCCCTTAACTTTCATAGAGGTTAGGAGTGCAGGATCCCCACAAAATAAGAAATCTGTAAATATCTTAACCCCTGCCCAACATGTATGCTACGGACGTCTTTCCCATCAATAGACCAAACATGTACCTCTCTTTACCACTTCAGTGTCATAACAACTTCCACCTCGCTCTGAGGCTGCCTCTGATGGACCACCACCATCGCCAAAAACTGAAGACCATTTTGGCAGCCAGCAGTAGCAACTCATTCCCTTCTCTGTTCTGCTAATAGCTCTGGTGGAGCATGGAAAGTTTGAGATCCAGCAGATGGCTCTGCAGCAAGGCTCCATAATTATGGTACCAAGCAGGAAATGAGAGTACAGGTTAGGTTTACTGGCGGGAAAGGAGATTAAGGGAGGAGGAGCTAAAATTGTAGCTGCTAGCCCTGCCACAGCTACTGCAAAATGGCTTTCAATCCTAATTTGTAATTGGTTGGGGGGGGGGGGGGGGAGACTGGTAGAGGCATTGTGGTGTGAAGGTGGGGAAAAGAGATGCAGGCTGGGACTGCTGGCAGGAAGGGAGACAGAGAGGAGGAGGGCAAGGAGGAACAAAGTCCCCCAAATCTAGGGTATTTTCTAGCTGCAGTAGTGGCTACTTAAACAACAGCTATGACTCATGAACAATCAAATCTGCAGAAGTTAAACCTGCAAAGGCTGAGGGCAACTACACTGTGTAGTAAAGATAATCTCAAGTTCCCTAAACCAAATCGAAAAGGTCTCAAAATAATCAGGCAGCAAATTCTTGATAGACTATCTTTAAAAATTAACTGAAATAGTAAATCTCAACTATTTCACACTGAAAACACAACTTTTGAAAAAAAAATCATTAGACCTGCATATCCTGTAAACCACATGCAAGAAATGCAACCACTCCTGAATCATCAGGGATGTCACAACAAATAGCTTGCAATGTGTAGAAGACACAGAAAAGTTAAACATAAAGTCTAGCATCATTCTACTGTACTCATTCATAAAGTGGGACTACAGGATTGTGAGCTAGCAGGAAAATATGAGGCTGAACTAACTTGTATGGCCCTAAGCAAGACTAATGCAACTGCCATCTTAGCGGGAGCACAGGATTGGATTGCAATCCAGGCTTTCTTCAAAACACATCACTCTTCCTAAAATTAAAAAAAGAGGAATATCATCTGTACTTCAGAGGTAAAAAAAATCTTTGAATAAGCAGAAATTAAGCCTTGCCACGGAACAACAGACTGGTTCAAGATTGGGAAAGGCGTACGGCAAGGCTGCATACTCTCACCCAACCTTTTTAACTTGTATGCAGAACACATCATGCGAGGTGCGGGGCTGGATGAATGCAAAGCTGGGGTGAAAATTGCTGGAAGAAACATTAACAACCTCAGATATGCAGATGACACCACTTTGATGGCCGAAAAGGAGGAGCTGAGGAGCCTTCTAATCAAGGTGAAAGAAGAAAGCGCAAAAGCTGGGTTGCAGTTAAACATAAAAAAACCAAGATTATGGCAACAAGAATGATTGACAACTGGCAAATAGAGGGAGAAAACGTGGAGGCCGTGACAGACTTTGTATTTCTAGGTGCAAAGATTACTGCAGATGCAGACTGTGGCCAGGAAATCAGAAGACGCTTACTTCTTGGGAGGAGAGCAATGTCCAATCTCGATAAAATAGTGAAGAGTAGAGACATCAGACTGGCAACAAAGATCCGCCTAGTCAAAGCCATGGTATTCCCTGTAGTCACCTACGGATGTGAGAGCTGGACCTTAGGGAAGGCTGAGCGAAGGAAGATCGATGCTTTTGAGCTGTGGTGTTGGAGGAAAGTTCTGAGAGTGCCTTGGACTGCGAGAAGATCCAACCAGTCCATACTCCAGGAAATAAAGCTCGATTGCTCACTGGAGGAAAGAACATTAGAGGCAAAGATTAAGTACTTTGGCCACATAATGAGAAGACAGGAAAGCTTGGAGAAGACAATGATGCTGGGAAAGTGGAAGGAAAAAGGAAGAGGGGCCGACCAAGGACAAGATGGATGGATGGCATCCTTGAAGTGACTGGACTGAACTTGAAGGAGCTGGGGGTGATAACGGCCAACAGAGAGCTCTGGCGTGGGCTGGTCCATGAGGTCACGAAGAGTCGGAGACGACTGAACGAATGAACAACAACAAGGCTTGCCATCATCCCAAGGGGAAAAAAATTATAGAACAGAAGCCAGAATCCTGTCCGTCGCTATGTTGCATTTTTCCATCTTTTCCCTCCTGCATCTTTTTCCTCCTGCTGCCATCACTGCCTATGGCAGTGTTGCCATGCCAGTATTAGGTACCAACAGGATTGTAGATTAAATTCTTAATATAATTCTTCAATCCCTACTTATTAATTTCTCAGTAGTCATGCCACAAGATCCTAATCAAACATGAAGTATGTTAATACTAACAAAGACCTGTGAAAGAGGATTTGTTACATCGAGTCCTTTCTCCATCATAATGAGCATAATAAAATGATAGATTTACAAAGACATGAAATCCATTTACATTTCAGAAGCACCTTATATATATAGCTTGAAGATAATTTTATACAAAGTTTTAAATAATTATGTGTATAAAATGAAGTTTGTGTGCACTGAATCATTAGAAAACAAAGATATCTCAGCCCCCCATATGGGCATTTTCGGATTTTGAAATTCCAAAATAATAAACCTGTAGTGGCAAGGGGAAAACTATAATTGCATATCAAGATACATTACGTTATACTGACAACAGATTAATTTTCACTGTTACATCACACAACTTGTCAAGCTCTGTTCCTACAACATTTTGAGATCAGTATCATAATTACTAAATATTTAACAAATTAAGAAACCTTAAACTATTCAATCTTGTTATAATAAAGATGTACACATTTTCCATATCTTTTCAGTCATCCATTTACATAGCATTTTTGCATTAATATGGTATCTTGTTTTCCTTCTTGCAGCCTATTTGCTAGGATATGAACTTAATACAAACAGAAGAAAAGTTTCATCGTATGACTATGTGCTGCCAAAACAATGATACAGAATCAAATTATATTTGTTAATTAAATTTAAGTCTTCCAAATCATAAAGATAATTCAGAACAGATATTATTCTTGACTATCAATAATCAGTCATGATTATGAAAATCCCTAAGCAGACCTTAGTTAAAATTAGCAGCTAGCCCGAAACATGGGAAAGGACAAGTATTTCCAGTTGTTTGTACTTTTTGAAGGTTAAGAATGTACTTGATAGCCTAATTTAAATCCATCAGTTTCTATGTGGAGACAACCAACAAGTGATTTCATGAAGCAACACTGTGCATTGCTCAGCAGCATGAAGTTTGTTTACAACAGGGCTGGTCACACTCAATGATTTGTGGAGACAGCATAGTGGTCTTAGAATCGTGAAGCTGGCAGGCAAACATCCAACCACTCTACTAATGCAGAATATGTATCACAGAATCCCTGTCATGTGCCATCAAGTCCCGGGCTGAAACACAACAGAGGGTCCATTACCTTACAAGGCAGTATATTCCACTACTGATCATCTTGTACCATAAGAAACTGAGTCCTACCACATGCACAATAGAGGACCTTCTCACAGGGACACCAGAGGCACTCCAAGTGGCCAGTTTCTAGTCAAAGAACATTTAGCATAATGCAGAGTTCTTTTAAAAACTTTTTTAAAAATGCATTTTAACTGGATCCTCAATTTGCTTCTGACACGATAAATAAATACCATAAGAAAGTTGTTCATAATGTTTTATTCACATCCTTTTCTTCATAATTTCAACTCACTGTTAAAGTCCTACAGCCAGGAGCTTCAGAAAATACATTTCCGCCATCATTTATGTGACAGCCCTTCAAATATTTTAAGATGACTGTAATCTCAACCATTTCTTCTTCAGGCTAAATCTATCCAATTTCTGAAACATTTACTCGTAAGAGCTGGTCTCTAGCCCTCTCAACCCAGGTATATTGACCTATTTGTCAATATCTTTCTTAAACTATGATACCTAGAACATGCCAACATTACTTCTGTTTTAATGAAGACTCTAGCACTGCATTAACCTCTTAGCAATGAATTACACTGTTGATTTATGCTTACCTTGAGGATCTACATAAAACCTTATTGCACCCTAAAGAAGCTTTTTCTAGTCTGGTACTATTCTCCATATGTTTTGGACTACATCTCCCACTACCACTGACTTGGTCTTGCTAGCAGAGGTAGCTATAGACCAAAACATCTAGAAGATCTATGTTGGGAGATGCTGCTGTATATGTTGCATATAACATGCATTACATGTCATAAGGATTTTTCTAACACTGCACTTACACCCTAGGACTTCATGCAAAGATGCATTTTTAGGTTTTTTTTTTAAGTGACTCTTGTGATGTGCAGTTTGTACACAAGATATTAAATCATTTCATCACCGTAATACTTCAAAGACAAAAATGAAATGTTTTCTACAGAATTTAGTAATTAAAGTGTTATTAATGGAAACAGAATGGAATTTAATTATTTGCTATGAATTAAGTGGTTTAAACATGTTTTGAATTTAGGGAGCTTTAATTATCAGTAATTCATTACACTTTAAAACATTTATAGAGCATCTGATCTGAGGGTTTTCTCAGAAGTATATTCTGAAAGTAAATCATGAAGGGTGACTATCCCAACTTAATCATGCCACAATAACAGATTTATTAAATAAAGAATAAGTTAGGAAGTGAGAACTAGAAAGGAACATGTCAAACAATGATCACAACTTCCTATGCTTGTGCCTTCCTTAAAGTAGAAGCAGGAAGTAAGGATTTCCCTTTAAAAAGGGGGGGGGCAACTAACTTTCATGTTCATAATTCCTCCTCCCAGTTAGAATGTGTGCATAGAGGAAGTTGACCATCTGAGCAAAATCTGGGGGAGCAGGGAAAAGATATATAAAATGAAAGTAACCAAACACTAACAACGTGAACAAAAGCTACAACACTGGAGTTGGCACTAACCATTTGACAGCATCTCTCTTCAAGTGTACATAAACGGAATACTATTAGCTTCAAATAGATGTTGGGGAGGCTGACAGATGGGATATCCCAGGAAACCCAAAACTACTCCTCCTTCAGATCTGTTGCAATATGAATCACTGGTGGAAAGTCCCATCCTCCTCCCTTTTTTTCCTTCAGCCACAGACCTTCACTTGACCAGGAGTCACATTGTAATCCAAGGTATTCTCTCTCTTTTTTTACCACTTTCAGGCAAACACACCAAACAAGATGAGAGGGGATGAAATCTGTGCACTCAAAATCATGCTGTGGACTCTGAACACATAGAGCAAAGAGATTTATCTATTCGTCTGTTGTGTGAGATGGGAGATTAAAAAGCTAATAATGTCTAAAAGCAGAACTGGATTGTGAAACCACCTTTCCGCTTTCTCCACCTGCCTGCCTCAAGAGGGAAAGAGTAAAAGCATTGGGGTGTGGGACATGATATTAGTCTGTAGCATCAATAACAAAGACTAGTCTTGTAACACCTGAAAGGACTTATCAAATTCATTACTATTTATAGAAATCAGAAAATGTTATCCCTAAAAGTTGTCAGGTAGAGAGAGTGAGTCCTAAAGACACACAATGGTAAAGGTAATGGATGAGTACTTTGACTTAAGAGTAATTGAATTGGGGGTGGGAAAGTGGAGATAGACAGGAGTCGATGGCAAAACAGGCTTCAGATAGGAAGAAACCAAAGCACTAGGCATAAGGGTGGCCCTTCGATGCTTCTTCCCAACTCTCAAAGTACAGATTGAGTATTCCTTATTCGGAAATCTGAAACACTCCAAAATTGCCCATACAGGTGACTGAATTAGTGACAACTTAACTTTCTGATGGTTCAAACTTAAAACACAAATTAATACAAAAATGTGTTTAAACTTACCGTCAGGCTATGGATATGAAACATATGTTAATTTCCTGTTTAGATATACCCATTTCCAAGATATCTCAAATATTCCAAAATCTGGTGTGTGTGTCACCTCAATCAAAAAACGCTTCAGGTTCACACTTGCCTCAAACAAATATGAGTTCTTTCTCCCATCCTGGACATTCCACAGATATATATACACCTCCCTTGCCTAGTTTCCAACAAACCTCACAACTTCTGAGGATGCCTGCCATAGATGCAGGCGAAACTTCAGGTAAGAATGCTTCTGGAACATGGCCATACAGCCCAGAACACTCACAGAAACCTTATCACTGTTAGTTATCATTTTACATTTTAAATAAAGGGCTTTCTGAAATCCTGGGTTGATATGAGTTTTCTGGGCTGTATGTTCCAGAAGCATTCTCCCCTGATGTTTCATTCTCATTTATGGCAGGCATCTTCAGGATGCGGTGAAACATTCTCACAGATGTGGGCGAAACGTCAGGAGATAATGCTTCTGGAACATGGCCATACAGCCTGGAAAACTCACAGCAACCCAGTGCCATCTTCACTTCCACAAACTTTGTGTTATGTGCAATACATTTAAGAAAGTTACGTATAACCTTCAGGGTATGAATATAAGGTGCACATGAAACACAAGTTAATTCCCTGTTTAGATTTGGGCCTCCTTTCCAAGGTGTCTCATTATGTATATCTAAACTATTTTTAGGTGAATTTGTTGTTTTGAGGCACTGTGTATGTGCCATTGTATGCCGCCTTGAGTCCCTGCTGGGATAGAGAAAGGTGGGGTATAAATACGGCAAATAAATAAATACTGTATATACTCGAGTATAAGCCTAGTTTTTCAGCCCTTTTTTTAGGCTGAAAAATCCCATTTGGCTTATACTCGAGTCAAGATGATTTATTATTTAATTCTATTATTATTATTATTATTATTATACTCTAATTACATTTATTATTTTACTCTATTGTTATTATTACATTTATTGTTTTACTCTATTACTGTTATTATTACATTTACTATTTTACTCTATTATTCTTGGAAAGATGTACAAATATATTTACACTGAAAAAGGTTGGTATCATGGTTTAATCAGAGTTGGACAGTCTTATCCTAAATTAGTTTTATGTAAATATTCAAAAACATTTCACCTACTGTTTCCTCAATTAATGTAATTTTATTGGTATCTATATTTATTTTGTATTACCGGTAGCTGCTGCATTTCCCACCCTCGACTTATACTCGAGTCAGTAAGTTTTCCCATTTTTTGGTGGTAAAATTAGGTGCCTCGGATTATACTCGGGTCGGCTTATTCTCGAGTATATATGGTAAACACATGAATAAATGCAAATTCATTCAAAAAATGAAGGGGAATCAAAAATCAAAAACAATTTCAAGTCCCAAGTGTTTCAGACAAGGATAAGTGACCTTCACTTCCACAAACTCTGTTTTATGTGCAATGTAATTAAAAATGTTATGTACCACCTTCAGGCTATGTATCTACGGTGTGTTTGAAACATATGCCAATTCCCTGTCATCTCATTAGGAATATCCAAATAATATGCTAGATCAAAAACACTTCAGGTCCCAAGCATCTTGGATAAGGACACGGGCACCTCCTTAAAGTTGAGTAGTTGAGATAAAGGTTCCTCAACGTGGGGTGCCGCGCCTCTCCCCAAAACAGGCATGGGCAAACTTGGGCCTTCCTTCCAGGTGTTTTGGACTTCAACTCCCACCATTCCTCACAGCCTCAGGCCCTTCCTTTCCCCCCCTCAGCCGCTTAAGCTAAGGTGGGAGAAAAGGGTCAGGGTGTGAGGAATGGTGGGAGTTGAAGTCCAAAACACCTGGAAGGAAGGCCCAAGTTTGCCCATGCCTGTTTTGGACCCTTTCCACACACACCCCCCTTCTCTCTCCCGAGTTGCCCCGCTTCCTGAGGGAAACTCTACCTCGGCGCTGTTGCCGCTCTCCGCCGCGTTCTCCACGGCCATCTTCTGCCAGGGGTCGGCCAGCTGCGCCAACGGCATGGTGGCCCCTTAACCTGAAGCGTCCCTTCCTCCCTTCTTTTTCCGCTTCTTCTTCTTCCTCCTCCTCCTCCTCTTCTTCCGCCGCCTGCTTTTCCTCAGAGTCCCACTTCGGCTCAGGGTCGGGCTCCTTCCTCCTCCCCGCCGCGGGGAGGAGACGGGCGGAACACGCTCCCTTCCTTTTCCCTGCTTTCCTTCCTTCCTTCCTTCCCTCGCGGAGGGAGCGCAGGACTTTCCAAGCCGGAGGGTGAACAACCAGCAGCGCCGCTTCTGTCGCTCAGCCCGCTTCCGCTCCCAATATGGCGGCGCCCGAGCCGTACCTGCCTGTCAAAACGAAAGGGGATGGCGTCATCCCAAGGCGGACCAATCAGAGGCGGCGGCAGGTAGTTTTTAAAAGAGGGCGTGGCTTAGGAGAGGCGGGGGCTGGAGAGTTAATCTGGTTGCGACAGGCGTGGGAGGGGGTCGAGAGAGCCGGGAAGAGAGAAGGAGAAGGGAGGGGCTCCCTGCCTCGCGACAAAGCCCAGCCGGTCCCGCGCGTCATTCCTGGCGCGCGCCTTCCCCGCGTCAGTTCAGTGGAGTGAACCCTTCGCCTCCCCCAATCGCCGCCGCCTGCTTCCAAGCCGTGACGACAGTTCGCAGTTGGAAAAAAAAAGTCATTGGAGTCCCCCTCCTCTCCCTCCTCCTCCTCCTCCTCCTCAGGAAGTGGTTTCCGTTCTGGAGGGAGGCCTTCAGTTCTATTACTTTCGGCCTTTGTTACTTTGGGGATAGTATGATAGCTGTGTCCGGAAGCGCACATTTCGTAACGGCGTTCGTGAATAAGGGAAGAAAAGGGGCGGAGGGAGAACGTGGAGAGCGAAGAAAGGATAGAAAGGAGGGGGCGCTAAGGGTAAGGGCTAAGGCAAAGTTTAGGGTTACGTTTAGGGGTTATTTATTTATCGTGTCAGGGGCAGACCAAACAGTTGCATATGTTTATTTTTTAACAAACAAACAAACAAAACACAAAGTTTGCAAGATTGGTAGTTGATTAGATGTCCTTTGACCAGTATCTGGCCACTTGGAATGCCTCTGGTGTCGCTGCAAGAAGATCCTCCATTGTGCATGTGGCAGGGCTCAGGTTGTATTGCAGTAGGTGGTCTGTAGTTTGCTCTTCTCCACACTCGCATGTCGTGGATTCCACTTTGTAGCCCCATTTCTTAAGGTTCGCTCTGCATCTCGTGGTGCCAGAGCGCAGTCCGTTCAGCGCCTTCCAAGTCGCCCAGTCTTCTGTGTGCCCAGGGGGGAGTCTCTCATTTGGTATCAGCCATTGATTGAGGTTCTGGGTTTGAGCCTGCCACTTTTGGACTCTCGCTTGCTGAGGTGTTCCAGCAAGTGTCTCTGTAGATCTTAGAAAGCTGTTTCTTGATTTACGTTGTTGACGTGCTGGCTGACATCCAAATGGGATGAGCTGGAGATGTCACTGCCTTGGTCCTTTCACTATTGGCTGCTACTTCCTGGCGGATGTCAAGTGGTGCAATACCGGCTAAACAGTGTAATTTCTCCAGTGGTGTAGGGCGCAGTTACTTTGGTGATAGTATGATAGCTGGGTCCGGGAGTGCCAGGCGTTACGCACATTCCGCAATGGCGTTTGTGAATAAGGAAATAGAGGGGGCAGAGGGAGAGCGTGGAGAGCAAAGAAAGTATAGAAAGGCGAGGGCACTTAGGGTAAGGCTAGGGCAAAGTTTAGGGTTTGGATTAGGGTTATGCTTACGTTTGTGAATAAGGAAAGGGGTGAGCGGCTCACTGAGGGCGGGAATATACTTCAGTTTGGTGGAAGGATAGAAAGGAGGGAAGGGTTTGGGGTAGGGTAAGGGTTAGGCTTAGGGGTTAGGGTAAGGTTTAGGGCAGAGGTCCTCAAACTTTAAACAGAGGGCCAGGTCACAGTCCCTCAAACTATTGAGGGTCGGATTATAGTTTGAAAAAAACATGAATGAATTCCTATGCACACTGCACATATCTTATTTGTAGTGCAAAAAACATGTAAAAACAATACAATACTTAAAATGAAGAACAATTTTAACAAATATAAACCTATTAGTATTTCAATGGAAAGTGTTGGCCTGCTTTTGGCTGATGAGATAGGATTGTTGTTATTGTGTGCTTTCAAGTAGTTTCAAACTTGAAAGCACACAATAACAAACTCAAATTTACCCTGAGCGAGGACTGGGTAAATGACCTTGGAGGGCTGCATCTGGCCCTTGGGCTCCAGAAAGGCCATATATCCCAGGATCTGATCCCGGGTTTTTTGTTTATATGAGTCCGCACTACCAGATAATCTGGGATAAAGAAACGGATCGGATCATGGGATATGGGGCCTGCTTGGAAGGGCCCTAAGTGAACAGATGGTGCTCCTAAGTGTTGTATTTGGCTCAGTGCTGTGGAATCCTGGGATTTGTGGGTGTATAAAGTCTGTATGTAGCCTTACAAAATGTGCTGCTATGTCACCGAGCTACATTGCACCATAGTATTGAGCCATGGTGTTCAATGTCATCATAGCATTGAGCCATGGCAGTTAAAGCAGTGCCAAACTGTTAATTCTACAGTATATAATGATGCATCCAAAGTGTTCTGTGGCACTGTAGAGACTAACACAAGGTGCATCTATACACTGAGGGTTGAGAAGAGTCAGGTGCAAATATCTGAAATAAATTATTAATGCAGTTTGGCATAACTTAAGTTGCCCTGGCCCAGTGCTATGGAATTCTGGGATGTATAATTGGTAAGTCCCCAGCACCCTGGCAAAGAAAGCAAAAAGATCTTGCAAAACTACAGCTACCAGGATCCCATAGCATTGAAGCCATGGCAGTTGAAGTGGAGTCAAGTATTGGCATATCTGCATTTATTCTAGTTTGAGCTGTTCCCCATTTCCACAAAGGGATCTTCATTCTGTTACAAGCTGAACATTCCTCACCCGGAAATCCAAAATATCCAAAATGGTCCACACAACTGCATGAGATAGTGACACCTTTACTTTCTGGTGGTTCAGTGTTCACAAACTTTGTTTCATGCACAACATTATTAGAAGTATTGTGTATAAAGTGACCTTCAGACTGTATATGTAGCAGGTGTATATCAGGCATGGGCAAACTTCAGCCCTCCAGATGTTTTGGACTTCAACAATTCCTAACTCTCCTAATTGTGAGAGTTTAAGTCCAAAACACCTGTAGGGCCTAAGTTTGCACATGCCTTGTGTATATGAACCATACATGTATTTCAGGTTTCAAGTTGGGTCTTCTTTCCAAAATATCTCATTATGTAAATATTCCAAAATCCAAACACTTCTGGCCCAAAGCCTTGTGAATAAAGGATACTCAACCTGTATTACACTTTAGAGAAAGAATACTCAATCTGCAATTTGGATAATATTATAATTCAGAAAATGTGATTATAGTTTATGGAAGCCCAAATATATAATTACATTTTATTACTATCTATGCTTTCATCATGGTTAACAGTCTTTCCTTTCTTTCTCTACAGTAGCCTCTCCTTGTAACAGCCGTTTCTACACTTTGAAGATGTAAAGCTCAATCTATTTTTTTTGTCCATGAAATGCTGTGTGTTCATTTATTATTCTGTAAATAACTTCTGCTTTTGTTGTTCTGAATTATAAATTCAACAGTCCTAGGGGCTGAACACACAAACCCACAGCCAACCCAACTTAGAACAACCCCCAAGATGCCTGGGATTGCTGCTTTTCTTTGGATCTGCTTACTCTGGGCTTCTTTTTTTCTAAGTAAACATACATCAGATGGTGTTGCAAAGATCCAGTCCTGCTCAAACTCAATGGGACTTCTAAGTAAACATACATAGTGTTGTGATTTTAGAATAGATTTAAAAATAGCATGCTCCAGGAGAGGGAACGCTGCAGGGGTGCGGGGGAGGAAATTCAGAATACATTACGGGACTTGGAAAGCCATCCCCTTCTTCTGCCTGCAATTTCCTCTTGTTTTGTTTTGTTTATTTTGCTATTTTTCTCACAGCAGGATCTATATCCAATCAAAGAGTCTTGCAGGGAGATAAATGGCTAAAAATACTACATATTTCAGGGCAGAAAGCATAGTGATGCCGCACTTTGAAGCTTCTTGACTACACTTCCTGCTTTGTAGGGGTTTGGTAGGGAGTGACTCAGTCCTGACACATAGGGCTGCTGCTACCATTACATCCAATTTGGCTTTTATAGTTGGACATGAATATCCAGGCTTTTCTTGAAATACCGCCAAGTAGGAAGCCTGTTCTCTTGCTCGATTGTTTTGGATGGCTAGAGGCGCACATTTCCTGATGGGATTGAAAATATGACATAGTGTATCAGAATGGCCAGACAGGAATCTTATTTACCTGTCTATACATGACCTCAAGCCACAAAGGAATATTCATTCCTTCATTCTGTGTATTATGAAAGAGATAAGAGGCGTATAAATGCATTTAACTGGAACTCAGCTGTGTTGAAATACTTTCTAAAAATGGTAGTATTAAACTAGGATAGCTAGTGATGGGGTATACTCCATTGACCATGACATGACCAAGTTTTCACAACTGAAAATATACTGGTCTGTGGGTCTTCTGAGGAGCCAACTGACTTGTTAATTGTCCCGTTATTTTGTTCTCTTTGTGTATATGATATATTTTTTTTTCCTCTGCTCAAACTGACAATCAGTTTGCAGATACTCACATGATCATTTTAGCACGTGAGTAGTTTTCTATCATTTCATCTCCCTGCAGTGTGATTTGACATCCTCCAGGAATTTAGAATATTTGCCAGTGTTCTGATGTAATCTTGAGAATGTGGATGTGGGTGGGATTGTTGCAGCCACAAGCGGGAGATCTAACGAAGTACATTTGAATAAATGGGGATGCTCCTCTCCCAATTTTCATTCTGAGAGAAACACCAAATGCTCATTTGGAAGAGTATCCGGAGGACAGATGGCTCTTTTTTCCTGTTCCATTCCTTCTGAGAGGAAAAAGGGGGGAATCTATATATTTATATGTATGTGACACACCTTCAAAAGCTAACTAAAATGTGGGAAGAAGATTGAATATTTATCCTTATGGAAGAACTATGACAGTAATAATATGGTATGTATAGCATACTGTACCTGTGTTTCCACCCTTTCCATCCTGTACCTCAAAGATAATATGCATGGTCTTTCCTCCAGTGGTTTTATACTAACAACCACCTTATGGAGCAAAAATAGTACCTGTCCCAAGTTCCTGCACCGAGCCTCATGGGTAAATGTGGATCTGACTCTGGATGTTACACCTTGTTGTTCAACACTCTAGGTCAGGATGTCAAAC